AAGAACACAGTGAGCAAAACTATAAGGAAATCATTTCACACAAAATATAGTAGTTGCCTCTGGGGGGGTGGTGGCTGGAGGCAGATGCACCAGAAGAAATGTTTCTGCCCCTTACGCTCAGCCTCGGCTCATAACTCCTCACTTTCTTTTTCCTTTTTTTCTTATTCATTCTTTCACCTGTTTTCTTGTTATGTCCCTGTCCCCATCCCACTTCCCCATTTGTGATTTTCATTTTCAAAGTTTTGGGTCTGAGAGGATAGATGATATGATTTCTTTCCCTTTTTGGGTGGAGGGGCTTTCCCCAGCAATGCTCAGGGCTTACTCCTGACTGTATAAAATTACTCGGGGATCACTCCTGGTGGTGCTTGAGGGAGTGGGATGATGCGGATTGATCCAAGTCATCCATATGCAAGGCAAGCGCCCTACCCGCTGTCCTATCACTGCGACCCTGAGTTGATGCGATTTCTGTCTTGCTGATTGGAGGGCTGTTTTGAGACCAAGTGTGTGGGCCACCATGAGAATGTCCTGTGTGCACAGAATGCACTTTGGGGGATGGACAAAGCTCTAAAGTCGGCTTGACCGTCACTTCATTCCTTCCTTTAAGGCCAGTGTGTCCTCGTGTAGTTCTTGCCAGGGTGACTGACCGAGCAGTGGCAGCGACGTCAGAGTCTGACTGTTGCTATGCTGTCAGTCTTTCTTCTCTTGGCAGCTGCCTTCAGAATCCCATGGTCTGCCATTAGGTGCACATAGTGTAGCAGTGTGAGTTCTTCTGGGTGTATTGCTCCTGTTGTCATTGAAAAATGACCATTCCCATCCTTGCGGCCTTTCGAAATGTGAAGTCTGTGTTGTCTGATAGAAGCATGGCCGCCTCAGCCTTCTTACAGACTTGTTTGCTGTAGATTATTTTCCAGGGCCAGAGCAGTGGCAGAGTGGGGAGGGTGTTTGCCTTGCACGCGGCCAAACCAGGTTCTATCCCCAGCATCCCATATCGCCCTTAGAGCATTGCCAAGAGTGATCCCCGAATGCAGATCCAGGAGTAACCCCTGAGCATTGCCGGGTGTGACCCCCTACCTCCCAAAACAAAACATTGTTTCCAGCCTTGACCTTGAGCATGTGTGTCCTGTGACTGAGGGAGGTCACAGAAAGTTGAGTTCCATTTTATGACCCATCCTGCCACTGCATGTCTCTTAATTGGTGAGTTCAGCCAGTGACATTGAGTGAGAGAAAGGGACTTAGAGAATTTAAGTTTTGTTTTGTTTTGGACTACACTTGTTGGTGCTCCGGGCTGACTCCTGACTCTGCACCAAGGGCTCATTCTTGGTGGGTTTCAGGGACCTTATGGGGTGCTGGGGGTCAAACCCAAATTGGCTGTGTGCCAGACAAGTGCCCTGGCAGCTGTCCCATCTCCCCTCTCCACGCCTGTGTGTGGTATGTCGTCCTTTCAGAGGAGTCTCTGTTCTTCATGCTTGGTCTGTATGGCTCCGTGAGGGACCTTTCACCAGTGGCCTCCGACACATGCCTGGGGCCTGACAGGTGGCAGTACAGCCTGACGTCTAGTGCTGACCGCCCTCTCGACTGCTGGGAAGTCAGCTCTGCCTCCTTCACAAGGCTGTGAGCTACTCCCTGGGCCTCCCCTGCTCTGCTCCCCTCAGCCTCTAGGGCCTCCAACGATCCCTCCATCCCCTCAGTTGTAGGCTGACAGCACTCGCTATTCTCCATTTTCTTTCAACTCTCTGTTCTGTGTTTTCTTTCCCGTGCTTCCTGACCTTTCTGTGCATTGATGGATTCTGTCCGTTCTGTCAGTCCGTCAGCTGCAGGCCTCTTGGCCTTATTGTCTGTTGTGTATTTTCTTCTAGTGCTTAATTATTATTACATTTTTTTGAGAAACAGAGTTCTTAAATTATATTGGGTTTTTTGTTTGTTTTTGCTTTTTGGGTTATTTCTGGCAGTGCTTGGGGGACTCTATGGGATGCTAGGGATTGAACCCGGGTTGGCTGCTCATACAAAGCAAACTCCCTCCCCACTGTGCTATTGCTCCAGCCCCAGAATTATATTGTTTTTGTTTTCATTTTTTTTTTGGTCCACACCCTGTGGTCCTCGTGATCCTCCTGCCTCTCTCTGTTCAGGGATCACTCCAGATGGGCTCAGGAGACATGTGCAGTGCTAGGGGACAAACCCAGTTGGCCACATACAAGGCAAGTCACCCCCACCTCTTCAGCCCAAAGTTTTTAATTTTAATGAAGCTTAGTTTGCCAGTATTTTCTTAGGTATTCAAAACTTTTATGTCTTTTGTGGAATTTTGTTAGTCAGGACTGTGGATTTGGCACCTTTCTGTTCAGAAATCTTATGTCTGAATAAACTGAACCAATTGATAGGGTGGGTGAAGTTTTTGTCCCACCTACATTGTCCCCCGCACTTGTCCCCCGCCCCCTGGGCGCACACACAGTGACCATGGTTGTGAGTGAGTGGGTGGCCCTGTCTTGCTGGTCTAAGGCCTCCTCTTCTACCACTCCTCTCCCGAATATTCTAGAGGGCTTTGGTTCTTCTAGCTTCTTTAGTTTTTTGCATAATATTTGAATCAGCTCATTTGATTTCTTTAAAAAAGGAAACTCCTGCTAGAGTTCATCACTCCAGCCCCTACTGAATTTTTTTTTTCTTTTTGGGTCACACCTGGCAGTGCACAGGTTACTCCTGATGCTTCACTCAGGAATTACTCCTGGCGGTGCTCTGGGGACCCTATGGGATGCTGGAAATCGAACCCGGGTCGGCCGCATGCAAGGCAAACACCCTACCCACTGTGCTATCACTCCAGCCCTGCCCCTACTTAATTTTTAAAGAAATTTCAGAAGGACCTTTGTAGTTCTTACGTATTTTGGGGGTAGATGTTCAGAATCCTCTCTGTAGGTGGGCGAGTCATCTGCGATGAACAGGTAGATTCTGTCGTCCAGCCTCCCTTGGCGTTTTCTCGTGCTTCCTGCCCTAGCAGCCTCGGAATGCTGGTGGGAGCAGGAGTGGAGCTGTGCGCTGTGCTTAAGGAGCCAGCACGGTGGGTGGGACCAGCACCCGGCATATTCCGTCCTTGGCACCCCTTAGCAAGAATACAGAGCTGCTGGAGCAGTCAGGAGTTAGCCCTGAGCAAACAGAAAGGGCTCCCCAAAAGCCAGAGAGCATGGGTAGGTATCAGCATCCCCATGGGGTATGGTCAGGCCACCCGAGCAGGCCCTGGGCATTTCCAGCACCACTTGCTGGGCCCTGGCACATGGGTTCTGTGGGTCTGCTGGCCTCAGTACTGTCAGGAGGGTTTTTAAAAAGGGACTTGACTCCTCATGCCCGTCTCCCTTGCTTGTCTCTACGTCTCTTTGCTGGAGAAGCCAGAGAGGAAAAATGTTCTCTCTTAAACATGTACTTCCTCTCTTGCTCTCCTTTCACATATTCCTACGTAAGTTTCAATAAAAACGATCTTGCTGTACTTTAAAAATATATATTAAAAAGATTTTAAATGGCCCTAATTATCTACCGTTCTGACCGCTTTGCTGGTACTGTGTAATTACGCATTCTCCTCTTTATTTTGCTCGTGTCCTTGTCACTTAGTGATGTCTCTGCTCCCCTCACTCTATTATGATGTCTGACCCATTTTCACTAAGAGAAATAGAGTGGCTGAACAACGTCTGCTATTCAAGATGGGTTAGTTTTGGATATGCACTTAGGGAGAAATTCTGTCCTCCACCTGGACTTCGGTTATGCCTGAACTTCTGTGGACCCTTAGGCTTTTGCCCGTGCCTCAGCCCCTGACATGCACTGAGGAGGCTTTTGGGAGACACAGGGTCACGCACCTTCCCACAGGCTTCACGAAGGGGTGAGCCATGCAGCTCTGCTCCAAGAACAGCGGGTACAAAGGCCTCATGGGAATGGGCTGGGACCATCATGCAGTTGTCAGGTAGAGCGTGGGACTGAGAGCCAGGGAACAAATGAAGGTGGGTGCAGGTGAGAGCTGTGAAGGGGGTCTCCAGTTGGGTAGCTCTGAATCCTCTCCTGAGTGACTGTCCTGTGAGGAGCCCCTGGGAGACAGGTTTTGGATGATGATTGTATTAGGGCCATGATTATAAAGACCATTCAGTAATGTCTTTTCATTACACAAGCAAAAATATTTTTGTTTTGGACACACACGGCAGTGCTTAGGGACATCTCCTGGTGGGCTTTGGGGACCATACGGAGCACCAGGATCAAACTCGGGTTGGCCATGTGCAGGGCAAGTGCCCTATCCACTGTGCTATCGCTCCTGTCCCCAAAACGCTTTTTTGTAAGAAAGTGATAAGAACCTAGCCCTGATTCTGTTAGCCTCAGAATCAGCCGAATGAAAGAGAATGTTATCAGAACACGGGGAACAGACCAATGAGCTCTGAAATACAGGTCAGCCGAGGGCCTAGGGTGACCTTAGACCTCTGATCGAAGGCAGTTTGCTGCTCCCTGTGCGGCTGGTTCACGAGGACATGTTTGTGCTAGATCTCATGCGTGACTCAAGGAAACGCAGCTGGCGGCCTGAGTTGTCAGTGCTCATCTCTGTCTGTCCGACTGATTGGTGGGAGGTGACTTTTCCTCCAGTTTTCCCCCTCTGGAGGTGCCTCTCAGTGCTGCTCATGTTGTGGTGTGAGCACTGTCAGCAGTGAGAGCGGAGTAGGATTCTTGACAGTACGGCAGCAGTCGACCTCCTCCTTAACACTGGTCAGTGACCTGGGTGACTGGAGCGGTGGGCAGTGTCTGAGCCCCCAGTCTCCCGGTGGGACCCTCTCCCTGCACATCTCTGTTCCAGGGTGAAGAGAGGCTCATTCCCAGTGACATCTCGGAAATAAAGACATTGACTTTGAAAGTACGGGTTAACTGAATTTCGGAAGTGTTTTCCACCACCATCCCCCCAAAGCTCTTTCTAAAGTATTATTTATAAACTGAAAGTTTTTGCTGTTGTTTCCTTGAGTTGACTATACTTCTTCTTTTTTTTTAAGGTAAAGTGCAAGTTCAGAGTTCAGACATACAAGTTGGAGACCTCATCATAGTGGAAAAGGTTGATATTTTAAATACATATTTTAGACCTGCATATGCCATTATTCACATTTAACCTGATGCGAGTAACTTCTGAATCTGATGGAGACTGGCTGAAACATGTAATTCAGACCTGGGCATCTTTATTTGAGGTTTGATGTATGTGAAGAAAACTAGGTTTGGGTATGTTCTGTTTTGTTAAAGTATGTTTCACTGTTATAGGTGAAGTCATGTTCTGTCCAAAATAAGACATGAAACTGTGTAACGTAACCTCACTGGCATCACTACCAAAGGAACTGCATCCTTTGAGTCTATGTACAGTGAGTGTGTAGATAGATGCCTTGTGATGATCGTAGACAGGGAAGAGCATCACAGGAGATCATGACTCCAGGAAGAGGCCACAAGGCATCCCCATGGGGAAGCCAATTCGATCCTTAAGGCCTCCCCGTGTTCCAGGCCATGAGGTGTCCCTGTGCTCCGAGGTAGGCTCTGTAGGTGCCTGCTGGCTGGAATCTGGAGCAGTCTCTCTGCCAGACACAGTCTCTGTCGCTCACATTTTCTCACAGGAATTCTGTTACACAGAGTTCTTCATTTGTTCCTTAAGATTCCCGAACTTATTTGTTGAACACTCTGTTTTTAGAAAAAAAGAAAGATCAGTCAGCCCAGCTGTCAGTAACACCTGAGGATGCTGGCAGCAGTGGCCTGGGGTGGTGCCACCAGCTTTTGGAAGCACTGTTGCAAGCAGCTGTTAGATTTAAGGCAGTTTCCTTTCTGTCGCAAGATGCGGTGGTGAACGTCCTGAGGTTGAGCCACAGCTTCTAGGACGAGTGCCAAGATGGAAGCTGGTCAGGCCGTATTAGCACTGTCGACACCCTGGAGCTTATGCCAGTTAGACACTGTTGATAACACTGGAGCTTATGCTCTCGTTTTCTGTGCGCTGCTTTGGCTGGGGTTCATCTCCAGGCTCTCGCCTGGGTCCCCTGTAGCTCTTGGGGCCTCATTCTCATGACCTTTGGCTCAAACTCACCCTCTTTTCTGGCCTGTGGGCAGCTCCCAGTGGCCTGCCAGTGAGAAGGCAGTGGGGCAGGAGGCAGATGGATCAGGCTTTGGGACGGGGCTCTTGCTGACTGAGCGGCTGGTGTGGTCCCAGTGACTGTGGGGCCAGGGAGGCTCTCTGCATCTCAGGGCCCTGCAGCCCTTCCTGGCTTTCCTCTCTCTGCTCCCTCTCTGCTCTTTGCTCTCACTGCTCCTTCCCTGTCCTTTCTGTCCTCCTGCTTTGGCTGAGTGACCTTGGTGCTCCTGGGGTCCAGCTCTGCATCTGGGAGTCTGGCAGCCTTGCTCTCTCTGCGTGCCCACCAAGGGGGACAACACCATCTCCATCAGGAAATGGCTTTTTCCTTCCATGTGCTGGTGGCCAGGGACACCGAATACCTTTTCTCTGTCTTGTGGGTCACGAGCCCATACACCTTACTTGATTTACAGACTGCCAGTTTTATTTTGCTTTCGCATAAAAAGCTTGAATATTTGGAAACTCGAGACCTGGTTTTTGGGATTACTGTGAGATGATCAAGCTAGAGTACTAGATGCATATCACTTGTTACAGCCAGTTAGGTGGTGCAGGAGGAGGGAGGGTGTTCAGAGACTCGCTCCCCGGGGGGGGGGGGCTATGCATGACGACAGAACAGTACCAGTGTTGCTGTGTGAGGGACACCCCAAGCTCCTGCTGAGAACAGGAATCCCGGGCCAGGGTGATGATTTCGGAGCCTGTGCCCTGTCTTGAGTCCAGGTTTTGAACAGGTTTGGAACCACGTGGCCCTGGGGGTGAGGAACAAAAGCTCCCTGCTGTTTCCCACACTTGGCAGAGTTAGCCAAAAAAGATCTGAGGTGAGGCAGTGTAGTAAGTTTTAAGAAATTTAGTAACTACTATGTTACTATGTATGTTTCAATACCCCAACAAACATTTCAAAGCATGAGTGGACTCTGAGTTGCTATGAATCAGATGACATAAAGCTTTTGGGGAACTGCGTGGTAGAAGGCAGGAAAGTGGAAGTCGAAGAGGACTACCGAAAGAGACCGGTGGGGACAAACGCCAAGAGGCACCCATGTTCCCTCACCTTCCTGTGAGCAGTTTGAGTGTAGTGGTCAGGAGGCAGCAGCATGGATAAAGGAGTGACACCACCCATATGCAGCAGTCCCTGCTGAAAGAAGAAAAGGTTGAGAAATACCACCTGACGGTTCGTCAAGGACTGAGCTAATAGCCAATGAAGTGTGGCTACTAGCGGGGAATGGACACCACCTGAGGACAGTAGAACTAATCCACCACGAATTTTTATTAGCCCTTAAGATTGGGTGAATACATGAATCAGAAACAAATGAAGCAAAACAGCTAGGAAGAAAAATGCCCAGGGTGAGCTTCAGGGAAGTGGAAGTGAGCCTGCAGCGACATGTGTGAGGGGCAGGCGGAGCGGAGCTCTGGCCTTCTCCACCTCCCACCACTCGAGAGAGAGGTAGCAGTCGCTCCTCTGAATTCCTCTGAATTCCTGCCTCAGGAAACCTAGGGCAAAGGAAGTCAAACTGCAGCAAGAGATGCTAAGAAATAGTCAGGACAAGCAGAAATCAGTAAAGGTGAAAATAGGAAGGTGTGATCAAAAATCAGTTAATAAAATGGATACACTCGTAACAAGACTGAGCTAAAGCTGGGACAAACCCCATCTAAATTAGTGGTGAAGTGGGGCCTATCACTCTGGATCCTGCAGAAAATAGAAAGATGATTCTAGAAGACCACAAACGACTGTGTTGGTAAGTACCCACTTAGATGAAATCGCTCAGAGCCTACCCAGGCTACGAACTAGCAAGATTCTGTCTCAGTGAGACAGACTCTGACCAACCCTGCAGCCAGCACGGCCCCTCAGGTGATGAGGAAAACCTGTGGGAAGGAACAGGCTCAGCTGCGGCGTTGAAGATGGCCGCTAGAGAAGGCAGCATCGTTTCTCAGGAGGAGTTCTGGAAAGGAGCACTGCCCAGCGTCCCCTTAAACACCGGAGAAGGCGCCTCAGCAGGCAGCCCTCGTGGGCACGTGTGGAAAATTCCTTGAGTGTTTTCTCACTGGCTGTCAGCAGCAGAGCCTCGGCCAAGTGGAGGGTGCTTTCCTGGTGTAGGATGACGGTGCTTTGTCCTTTCTAGCTAACCTGGTCTTGTTGTGCTTCCCTATATTACGCCCCACAAATACTTCTATAAAAAATACGACAAATGCACCGTGGCTGTCACCCTGTGCCCAGCCATTCCGGCATCTCCGTGCCATGGCAGGTGCTCCTGGAGGCCGGGTCACCTTCAAGGTGGCCTTCCCTGGCACACGCTGTGTCTGCAGGGCCACTGGGTCTCCTCTGCAGTGTCTCCTCGGGCTTCATGTAGCCACCTTACCCATCCTTCACTAGCTTTAGCCTGTTCCTTTTTTCTTGTTACCAAAATGGTCATGCATATTTTAAAAAATACTTTTGTTACTTGTTCCTGGTATACATGTGACTGATTTGTTTCATTGCATTTGCTTATATCCTTATACTTTTTTATTTGCTACTGTTTTTGTTGTTGTTGTTGTCCAGCCAGGGACTAGCTCTTTGCTTGTATGCAGTCTGATTTTTCTTTCCTATTAAATTGTGCATGTTTTCTTGACATTTTCCTGACTTTGTCTGTGCAGTGAGCTCGCAGTTTCTGTTCCCAGTCAGTGAGGACTGTTTGCTAAGTGCTGTGGAGGTGCCGTCCCAACTCCGCAGCCTTCACAGTTGAATCTCTCTCCCGCTGTCAGCAGGAAAGCGGTGTCTTTGCACTTCATGCTGTCCACTCCTCATGCCCTGTGTGTGTCTGAGAGCTGCTGACTGCTGACTGACAGATGATCACTTAGTTCTCAGCCATACGAATGAGACCTGGGACAACCTCTGTGGGCTGACTCCAGTGCTGCCACCAGTGGGCACAGCTTTCCCAGTGGGTGGAGGCATCAGTGGCCGCCAGGAAGTGGTGCAGTGCGGAGGGTGAGAGAGCCTCCCTTGCCTGCAGGAGAGTTGGGACCCTGGAACCCAGGCTCATCCATGCTTCCTGTTTGTCTCTCAGACCATCCTGGGCACCAGCCATAGAGAGGCCGGGTCAGTGCCCAGCTAGGCACTGTGGCCATTGCAGATGTTTGAATTCAGGTCCAGCAGGCCACGGAGTGTCGGTCCGGTCCATTTTCAGGGAGCACTTTCTGTGCGTCTGAAGGGGTCTCAGGCGCAGTCAGGTGGGTTGCTTCTCTAGTGCAGCGTCGGGGCTGATGCTGTGTGAGCTGTTGCTGCCAGCCAGCTCTGCTTTGCGTTCACTCACAGACCTGCATGTACAGCACTAATATTTGATACTGCTCTCCTTACAGAATCAAAGAATCCCATCAGATATGGTGTTTCTTCGGACTTCAGAAAAAGCAGGTATTGTTTTTGTTTTGCTTTGTTTACGTTATGGATGAAATTTTGTATTTTGGCAGTTTCAAGTTCATTTTGAAGGGTAGAATTTATTTGTATGAAGTTTTGATTGGAATTAGAGCAAATTCCTCAGCCACATTTTGCTTTTTATATTTATTTGAAACACATAAGTATCAGGATTTAAGGCGTGTGAGATGACAGTTTCATGCAAGTCCATATGACGTAGAAACAGCTCAGTGATAGATTTCCTCGACATGGTTTTGCTGTTTGTTTCATGTACAGCAGACGAGATGGGGCGTCTGCTGTGCCAGCCCTGGGGACCATCGTGGTCCTCGATTGTGAGTGCAGGTGCTCAGATCGTGCCTGCTGGGCTCTGCTCTAGTTGCTGGCACGTGGCCGCAGATCTCCGCTTCATCGGGGAGCAGTTGACAGAGGCCAGGAGACAAATGTCTGTGTCACCAAGGAGAGAGGGTGTGGAGAGGTCCAGAAGCCCAGACCCTGCTCTGTGTTGCGCAGTCCTGTCTGCGGCAGTGGGCCCCAAAGCATCCATCATCTCTCAGGCGATAGGAGGAAGCCAGAGTGCGTCCTACCTCGGACCATGACTGTGGTCAGCAGAGGCGTGCGTGGCATTGGTGCTGCTAGCACCACAAACACAGGGTGCTGCATGTCGCCACGAGCACAGGGCACTGTATGTGATGCTGGAGATCAAACCCGGCATGGCCACATGCAGGGTGAGTGCCCTACCCTCTGTTCTACTTCTCTGGTCCTAGGATTGTGTTTAAATGTAGGAACCAGTCCAGTGGTGTTCAGGAATTGGGGCCTTAATCCTCTGTGTGGCCTCGCTGGTTTTGTGACCCGACTCCTAGGAGCCACTCAGGAATGCTTGGTGGCCATTGAGTAGACAGGTGATGTTTGTCCCTGAGTTCTGGTCCCGGGAAGCCTCCTGCTCATTTGTTTTCTTGCTGGTCACCTGGTCTACCGTCCTGTCCACCATAGAAGGCAGTATTGACGATCACAGCCATTCTATCATGGCATCTTTTTTTTTCATGTTTGGGTCACATCCAGCGATGCACAGGGGTTCCTCCTGGCTCTGCACTCAGGAGTTACTCCTGGCGGTGCTCAGGGGACCATATGGGATGCTGGGAATTGAACCTGGGTCGGCCGCGTGCAAGGCAAACTCCCTACCCACTGTGCTATCACTCCAGCCCCAGAGTCATGGTATCTATTTTTCTTATATTCTTTACTCTTTGCTTCCTGGATTCTGCAATTTTATTGCTACATATGTTTATGGTCTTGTCATTTGGGTGGGGCTTGGGCCATACTGCCTATGATTGAACGGTTCCTGGCTGTGAGCTCCGGGGTCACTCTTGGCATATCATTTGTGGTATCAGCGACATGCAGGACATGTTTATTTTGGAGCTAACCCCAGTGGTGCTCAGGGCTTACTCCTGGCTCTGCACTCAGGGATCACTCCTGGTAGATTTTGAGGGGCCAAGTGGGGTGCTGGGGATCTTACTCAGATTGACAGCAGCCAAGGCAAGCACCCTGCCAGCCCATCTGCTGTCTCCTGTATCTCTGAAAGATCTTTCAGCGGGCCAGAGTCTGGGCCTTGTGTGACTTGTTTATAGTGCTCACCTGCAGTTTCTTTCTGTTACGTTACATTGTTGAAACCATTGCTAACTCTTATGCAGCTATAAAAGTATGGCTTTCTCATGATCATTATCTTTGCAGAGTGAACTAAATAGCTGCCCATTTGTTGTATGAAATTTGTGTCATGATACTACCTTTTCATCTAGAATTCTTGACTTGATCTGTTCTGTGTATGTGGCTTTAAGTAATTATTTTAAATTTTTTGGTTGCTTCATTTTCAAAAGTATGCGTACTTGAACTTTTCTGTATGTACTAACACTGCTCCATTTTAAATGGAGAAGAATTTGAATATTTTTCTATTGGAGGTCTTTCAGCCTTTCTCAGTGTGACATAATATTGTGGATGCAGTGTGTTGGGGAGTGGACAGTAGCAGCTGGGGGTTGTCAATGCAGCTCTGGAGCCTCTCCGGCATCGTATTGACTGTGTATTAATACAGGGCATTCTCTCGGGCTGTCAGCTGATTGTTTAGAATGTAAATGAAGCTGCTGATGGATCTGGTGACTGATGGCTTAAATTCCAATTAATCAATTGCTTCATCAGTTTCTTAATTCAGATCAAATATCTCCTGAATGCACACAATTCTTTTAGTGGTATTAAGAGAAATTAATGCTTTAGAACTCATTTTCATCAATCTCTTATAAATGTCAATATCTTTTGCTGTTGTCTCCTAAGTGATGACATTATAGTTCCGGTGTATGGGACATATCACAATTGCTCAGCTGTCACTTGTTAGTGGGGCAAGGGGCTTGCTAAATGACACTGTACTCATCCACGTTCTCTCTGATGTGATTCATCTTTCCAGCACCTTAAAAATTTCATGCAGAGTCATTAAGTCATATAAATGATTTAGAAATTAAGTTTAATGGCAAACAATCTGGTATTATATATGCAAAGTCAATGTCTATTTTTCTTTCATTGGGCATATACTGTAGCCCAGCTCGTTGGAAGCGATTGGATCTGTGAGTTGTTGCAGGAGGTCTGCTAATATTACAGGTGATGCATGATGCTCGAGGATGCGTCCATGGCTCCGTCTTGCTGGCTCCGTTCGTTACTTGATCAGCACTTGCTTCGGCCAGTGTGTGAGACAATGGCCTCGCTGATCTCAGTTTGATTGTCATTAAACCTGTCCTTTCCTGTCAACTCCTGTCAATTATACAAACTCAAATCAAGTATTCATAAGCCGTCTGTAATAGGATATGAGAAGAACAATTGAATAATTCATTTTTGCCGAGCCTCATGGCCTCCCTCGTAGCCAGAGCTTGCTGTAGGAGCCTCATCCAGTGCAGTCCCTGAGGACAAGTCAAGGTGGTCATCACGTGCTCCCGGTTTTGCTGCTGTAAATGTAAATCCTAGCCAGCCCTGCCAGTTCAGGTTACTAATATAGTTACTGTCAGCAGCTTCCCTAAGTTGTTGGGACATAACCATTGTTGCACATGAAGCCTGTCCTTTTTTATGAATAAAGGCATCTATATTATTTCCGTTGTTTAATAAGTTCATCACTAACTATATATTATCTGCATGTTTAGAAACAAGAGTGCTTGGCAGGAGAGGTATTTCAGCAGGTAGGGCATTTTTGCCTTGTACGTGGCTGACCGGGATTCAGTCCTTGGCATCCCTTATGTCCTCCAACCACCACTAGGAGTAATTCCTAAGTGCCGAGCTAGGAGTAACCCCTGAACACAGCCCTGTGTGGCCAAAATCCCAAAAAAATAAAAATTAAAAAAAAAAAACATAGAATGCTTAAAATATGAGACTTAAGAGTTCACTTTAAAAAAAAGTACTAGAAATCAAATCTACAGCAGAGCAAGTAGCATGATGTTTCAGAATATGTGCCAGAATCAAAAATCCAATTCCCTTCTGAGTTACCATCACATCAGTACATGTATACCCAAATAAATGTTTTTATATTTAGGGGAAAAAATAATTCCTAAAAAAATGTTAAGCTGCAGGGTCATAGAGCAAGCAAGCTCAGTGGCTGCACAGGCTTCTGCTTCCCGTGTTGAGGCAGCCCAGGGTCTGCATGGACCCTTGAGTACCCCAGACGGACCCCAGGTACTGAACCAGAAGTAGTCCCTGAGCATCCCCAGGGTGGGCCCTGGGTACTGAGCCAGAAGTATTCACTGAGCACCAGCAGATGTGACCCAGAGACAAAAATTTAAAAAATGAAACCCCAACACCCCCTCAAACAAAGACCTGTTAAATAATAAGCCCTTGTAAGTTTTTATATTTTACTTTTTCAGTAATTGAGTGTACCCAGTTATTTTGTTCACTATATAAATTTCATAAATCTTTTGAAAAATCATACAAATAATTTACATAATAATTTTTACACAGTGCAAGTAGCACTGTAGCACTGTCCTCCCGTTGTTCATCGATTTGCTCGAGCGGGCACCAGTAACGTCTCCATTGTGAGACTTGTTACTGCGTTTGGCATATCGAATACGTCACAGGGAGCTTGCCAGGCTTTACCATGCAGGCGAGATACTTTCAGTAGCTTGCCGGGCTCTCTCAGAGGGGTGGAAGAATCGAACCCAGGTTGGCCACGTGCAAGGCAAACGCCCTACCCCCTATGCTATTGCTCCGGCCCATTATGAATTAGAACACAAAAAATAATACAAGTATATCCCTTAACCCATAATACCAAAGTATGTATAATCACTTCTCAAAACTCATTAGGCATGACCCTTTAATAAGGAGCTGAGGAGATTTTGCAATCAGCTGATAAAATGGATAGTTAAAAAATCTTTTCCTTAGCCAGAGATATAGCACAGTGCATAGGGCATTTGTCTTGCCTGCAGCTGACCTGGGTTCAATTCCAGGCATTCCATATTGTTTCCTAAGCCCTCCAGGAGTGATTCCTGAGCCCAGAGCCAGGAGTAAGTCCTAATCATCGCCAGACGTGGTCCAAAAACAAAAGGAAAGAACATTCTTCCCTCATTAAAGCCCACAGCCAAAGGGAAGGGGTGAGGGTGATGGAAGTCAGTGGTGAAGGAACTGCTGGGCCTGGCCGATGCCCCGGGCTGCTGTGGCCGCATCATTCATAGTGCAGGGGATGAGAAGGGATCAATGTGGACAGCAGTTGAGCCTGTGGGGGCAGAGCCCTTCCCTGCTGCCTTCCCTGTCCCGTACTTGCGCATCTGCCTCTTGTACTGAGTTCCTTTGCCCTTGAAGTTACAAGAACCCTAGTCTCTGCAGGAAAGATCCTCACTAGAGCCTAGCTGCTTAAATTGGGGGGTGAGGGGAGGTGACCCTGTGTGAGCTGAGGAAACGCAATGCAGGGTAGAAAAATCTTAAAACTGGGGCTGGAGCGATATCGGAGCAGCTCGGCCGGTTGCCTTGAATGCAGCTGATCTGAATTTGATCCCCAGCTCCCCTTGTGGCCCCCTGAACCGTCTTGGGTATGACTGTGCCTCGTGCCTTCCCACCAGCAGTGATAGGACTTCAGGAATTTGCTGCCCTTCCTTGAGTATGAAGACAAAGCCCTGAAAGACACAGTATTGCAGTGCAGCGGGAAGTCAGGCAGCCACAGAGAATCAGAGTGAGTCTAAGCTGAGCAGGGCAGAGCTGACCAGCACTTACCGTCCATTGTGAGCGAAAGGACAATGGGTAGGGCACTGGCATTGCACACGACTGACCCTGGTTCGACCCCTGGCATCCCATGTGGTCCCCGAGCCTCTCCCCGCCCCCCCCCCCCCCCGAATGATCCCTGGGTACAAAGCCAGTTGTAAGCCCTGAGCATTGCCAGGTGAGTTGGCGCACACATACATACGTACACACATACCCCAAAAACACCCTGCCCATCTGTCTTCTGAGTGGAGTCTTCAGGAAGAACCCTCTCTCCTCTCACTGTGCTGTTTGCTTTTGCTGTGACTTGCTCCTTTTTGGTCCCTAGTTTCCTGCGTTCCACTTTTCTGTTTCCTTCAGGTTGAGCATTGTAGTGAAGTGTCTGAATGCTGTTCTCCTTTCCTTCCTTGCATTTCCTCTAGTCATTTTTCTTGGTCGTTACCATGGAGATCGCCTTGAACGTCCTAAGCTGTGACTCCCATTTGGATTTATACCATTCTGAGTTCTGTAACGTACAGACACTGTGTTCGTCTACAGCTCTGGCCACCCCCTCAGTTACAGATGTCACGGAATCACGTTTGTACAGATGCAGTGAATGCCTCAGATTACGTGGCAAATGAGATTTGGAGCCACAGACCAAAGTCGGAGCAGTTCTGGCACTCTGAGACCTACGTGTCACATGTTCCTTTGCACGTCGTCGGAGCCTGGTGAATGAGAGAGAATGGAAGTGTTGTCACCCTCTGCTCCCCTGCAGGGCCCTGGGCCCTCTATGGAGCTCTGCTGCTGGGAGCCCCTCCTCGGCTTGGGATCTTCTTTCTATTTGTGTGTCTGCTTGGTATTTTTATCATTATGAAGGTGAATTAAAGACAAAAATGATCAGTGTGGTCTATGTAAAATGAGGCGCTGGTCCATACTCTACCTTAAAGATAACAGTAGCAAATAGGCAATGATTATGAAACAGGTAATGGCCGCCATCTGTGTGACAGACTCATTTTGTGAATCAGATCAAGGCTGCTAATGGATTTATTTGTTGGGGGCCTCTCTAGAGGACCTCACACTGCTGTAGCACTGGTACCTTTGTGCGGGAGTAGTGACTCTTTGTTCTCTCACCTCAAGGTTCCTGCTTTATTCGAACGGATCAGCTGGATGGAGAGACGGACTGGAAGCTGAAAGTGGCAGTGAGCTGCACGCAGAGGCTGCCGGCTCTGGGGGTGAGCGCAGGGATGTGCCAGTAGACTGGGACTCTGGGGGATGCCACAGCAGTGCTCGAGGTGACGGAGAGCGATTCCGCCTCGCTCTGAAAGGAGCCTCATGTTCCCGCAGTGACGCTGCTTGCCCAGAGCCTGTTAAGTGGGTCTGCCAGTGTGGGCACTGGCAGTCAGGAGTCTGGGAGAGCCTTCGCTTGGGCCCTTGTGGAAGGAGACCCCTGGGCCCGGGAACCTGCGTGGTGCTTGGCACGTACAGGCGTTCAGCCTTCTGGGTCTTTCATTTGTGTGACCCTCCCAGCTGAGATCTCCAACCCAGAGTTGAACAGTGGTGGGGCAGCAACTCGCCCTTGTCTCGTTGCCAGCTCGGAAAGCACGGCGTTCTGGTGTGCGGTGGTTCATCTTGAGCGGCTGTTGGGGTCTTCGAAGCTCTGTCTTTCTTTTTTTTTTTTTTTTTCAAAAAAATTTTTTTTAATTAGTGAAACACCATGAGGTACAGTTGTAGATTTACAATTTTTTGTGCTTGGGTTTCGATTATACAATGATCAGATACCCATCCCTCCACCAGTGCCCATTTTCCACCACCATGGATAATATCCCCCCCACCCCCATCCCCCCATCCCCCCTGCCTCGGTGGCAGGGCAATCCCCTGTGTTCTCTCTCTCCTTTTGGGTGCTGTGGTCTGCAAAAGAGGCATAGAGTGGCAAACATGTTCAGTCCATAGTCTACTTTCGACATGCATCTCCCCTCCTAGGAGGATCCTCCAAACACCCTTTATTTGGTGCTCCCTTCTCTATCTGAACTGCCCTTTCCTCTAGGATACCCGGCTGGCCTCTAAGTTATGGAGTAATCCTCCTGGTGCTGATCTCAGCTATTCTTGGGTATTAATCTCATACTTTGTTACTTTATATCCCCCAGATGAATGCAATCTTTCTATGTCTATCCCTCTCTTTCTGACTCATTTCGCTTAGCATGATACTTTCCATGTTGTACCACTTGTATGTAAATTTCATGACTTCATCTTTTCTAAGAGCTACATAGTACTCCATTGTGTAGATGTACCAAAGTTTCTTTAACCAGTCATCTGTTCTCGAAGGTCTTTCTTTTCTGTTGAGACCCTCTGGGCTTTTTCTTCTTTGTCTCTGCATATGGTAGTTTGTAGTTTCTTGGAACTAGCTTTCTGTCTGCTGACCAGTCCTGTGTTGTGGACTGGTGTGCAGACAGGTGCCAGGTCATTGTGTGCCAAAGTCTGGCAAAGTTCAGCAATTAGCGAGATTCTGAGGTGGCTACTGTCTTTGGTTTCACTTGAGCTGATCTCCACTCCATGTGGCATTGTAAGTCAGGACAGGTCAAGTTCCCAGTGCCTGTAGCATTTGTTCTGGTTGAACATGAAAGTATACAGCCTGAGCCAGGCCTGTCAGCACCACCTGGTGACCGGTCATTCCTTTTGCACAGACTTAAGGAGACCTGGACTAGGTTCAAGTCTAGGGAACCGTGTTCCGGGCTCAGCATGGGATTCCCGCCTGCCCTTTCTCAGCCTGTGGGTCTCAGCAGACCCAGCCCTGCCGCCTCCAGGCTGGAGATGTCTGTGCCACCCTGTTGGGGCCTTTCACCTGGCCCCTGAGGACGTAGCAGGGGACCCGGCTGCCCCCAGCCACCACGGATCCAAACAGCTTCACACCTGTGGCCCGCTGGGCGGAGTATCTCTGTGACTGTCCCTGGGCTCACTGGGCAGGCTTGAGGAGGGCCAACCCCAACCCCTGCTGCTGTTTCTGCCTGGCGATCCCCACCAAAGTCTATGGTGAGTCACAGTGGTTTAGGGGTGCTCACGCCCTGCGCTCACCCCCTCCCCCTTCTCAGCCCTTTCCTGCCCACAGACACTGCTTAGGTCTTTGGGCTGGGCCTCCTTCATGTGGCGGAATAGAGCTTTGCTGCCCCCCAACGCCAGGTACCAGCTTGCAGCTGGCCCATGGTTGCTAAAAGCAGGTGTTTTCTTTGCGGAAGTTCTTGCAGCTCCTTCACTAATACCACCAGGGCTGATGCCTGGGTTTTAGCTGCCATTCCTCCCTGGCAGATTCTCTCCTGGGTCCTTTCATTCTCTCTTGAGCACATCCTTAAGTAAGATGTGCTCAGCATTAGAACAACAAGAGCCCTTCAGAGGGGTGGAAGGTCTCCTCGAACTCTGACCTCACTTGACTGGCTTCTGGGGGTTCTCTGAAATGGACGGCTGAAACAGGTGCTCTAAACCGTGACTGACCACAGCTTGGCAGAGAGGCCAGAGTGGGAGCAAAATCGAGGTAGTAAAGAAGAAAAACCACAGAAGTACGCGGGATGTGGCTGCATTAGCATCATTTCTGGGAGCCAGGACCTGTGCTCTGAAGCCAAGGGGAGGGGGCAGGTGTCTGTCAGGGAGCGTGGTCAGCTTAGACCTGTGGTGTGCGTGTGCAGTATTGGGAGATGGCTGTGTTAGCCTGGTCGTGGATGTGTGTGTTGTTGCTGCTGTTGCTGCTGCTGCTGCTGCTGTTGTTGTTAGAGAAAGGGTGTGTCAGCCTGGTGGTGGGTTTCTGTTGGGGGAAGGCCTGTGTCAGCTTGGTGTTGCGTGCGTGTGTGTGTGTGTGTGTGTGTAGTGTTGGGGAAGGGTGTGTCAGCCTGGCTGTGTGTTTGTGTATGTAGTGTAGGGGGGAAAGTGTGTTGGCCTGATTGTCTGTATGTGTGGTGGGGGGAGGTGTTGGGGCTGTGTCAGCCTGGTCATAGGGATGTGTCAGCCTGGTTTTGCGTGTGTGGTATTGGGGGAATGTTTGTCAGTCTTCTTCTGTATGTGTGTGTGTGTGGTGTTGAGGGAAGGGTGTGTCAGCCTTCCCCCAACAGTGACCCTGATTCAGGAGCACTGTGTTCGGCATGGGTGGGGCTGTGTGGTCACCTGGAGTGAGACTTGAGCCAGCGTTTGGCCTGTGCTGTTGGGGTGCCCCCCAGGCATGAGCAGTGTCGGGGAACGACGTTTCTGCTTGCCATCGGGCACATTTATTAACAACAGTGAGGTCACAGGCATTTTCAATAAATCATGACAAGCTGATTTATTTCAAAAGATCCATATAGCAGTAAACAATACCATTTACATTTAATTAGTTTTATTGAACGAAAGGCAATTTTATTTGTAATGAACCACATGTTATGATTAAGGGTGTATTTTAATGACCTTTAAGTAATGCGGACAAATGCTACCCTTGACCTAATAGCACAGGCTCTCCTGCATTATTGAAAACTTCAGAATGATTTTTAAATTATCGTGAAAAGCTTCGAATGACAATCCCATTATCGTGCCATTATTCAGTCGTGTGGTGTCTGGTCTAGATGGAGCACGTTCCTCTGCAGTCGGGCGTGGGAGCAGGAGGTGCCAGTGGGCGTGGCTTTCCTCTCCCTTCAGATGCGAAGTGTGGCACCACAAGCTGCTTACCCAACATTCTGCTCTTGGCACCGTAGGTCTGTGTGGTCTTCGGTGCATTTCTTGTTGTGTCAGTCGGCTTCACTCAACACTGAGTGTGTGTTAGTTACCTCCTTGTCTCTGCTCCAGGTGCTGAGCTCACCGTCGTCTTCTCCCATGGACGTCACCCTGCATCCCCTGCTGCTGCTCTGTTCTTGGTTTGGGCCATACCCGGCAGAGCTCAGCGCTTCCTCCTGGCTCTGTGCTCAGGGATCTCATGGCAGTGCTTAGAGATCCTTTGGGCATGCTGGGGATTGAACGTGGGTCAGCCGTTTGCAAGGAAAGCCCTCTACCCACTCCACTATTGCCTTAGTCCTCAGATGCGTTTCTTTAAACCTTTGAGGATATCAGAGTCCAAATGGAAGCTGTGGAAAAGGGTCCAAAGGAGTAGGAGCTGGAGAGGCCTTTGGCGTGGGAATGAACGGAGGAAAGAGGCTGGACGTCTGTGAGCAAGGGAGGTGGGGGGTGGCCCTTGGAGGAGGTCTCAGCGCTCCCTCCTGGCTGCTGTCTAAGTGGCTCAGGGCACAGGAAAGCTGTGGTCCACTGCACTGTGTGTCCTCAGCTGCCAGCTCTCGGTGGTCACCTTTGCCTTATCTCCTTGCTGCTTTTGAGGGCTTGGGGTCTACCCAGCCCAGACTTACCCCCCAGGGCTGCGCTGTCCTTGGTGGAGGCTGGTGCTCTCTGGCCCAGAAGTCCTCTCAGCGTTTTCTGAGGGTATCTGCTAGCAGTGAATTCTTGCTTTAACTTATTTGAAAATAACTGTTTTCTTGAAGGGTATTTTGGCTGAACACGGAATTCTGAGTGGACAGTCCTCGAGTACTTTTTTTGGTAGGAGTACTGCTGTTTATTCAGCCACTGATTTAGCTGACCGAAGCAGGCATCAACTCCACACTACTTTTTTATTATGAAATTTTATTTTCATAAAGTTGTTCACAGTAACTGCTCACGTTCAACATTTCAGCACCAGCCCCACCACCATTACACCTTCCCACCACCATTATTTTGAATTGTCCCACTACAACCCAAGCCTGCCCCATAGGCAGATGCGAAATAATTTATTTTGTATTGCTTGTTATAAATAGTATGAGATATCAAGAGGCCGCTCCTGAAATTATAAAATTTTTTAAGTATTTGGGGTCCGGAAGCATTTCTGTGGCTTGCTGCTCTCTTCCGAGATTCGTTTGTGAGTCTATGAATCATGGCCATTAATGTCCTTAATGTGGAGCCCGGAGGCCGTTCTTGGGCGAGACTGCCAGGAAACCAGAAGGGCGGGAAGGTGGGGGGAGGTTGCCCACCCCTGACTCTGAAGCCTGGAGTTCTCAGTCACTGGTCCCGCAGACCTCGATTTTTCAGCAGATTCGTTCTCGTGGTAAGGGGCTCAGGACGAGCCTGTGAAGGTCAACTGTGAGTGTGGCAGCGATTGGGTTCTGGAGGTTTGTGGCTGCTGGGGTTCATTTGGGGCAGACAGAGAGACATACCTGCCCCCCTCTGAGGTACCTCACTGAAATCAGCCTGGCATGGGCTGAGGAGACATTTCTGCAGCATGCGTCCTTCTTCCAAGATTCATTTGTGAGTCTGGATCATGGCCATTAATGCGCTTAAATGGCCTGATTTTGATCTCTTTCGAGATTTATTTATGGGTCTCTAAAGCAAGGCCAATAAATGAGCTTATATAGCTCAGTTATTGAGCTGGAGGTGGTTTGTAGGCGTGACTCCCACATACCTAACTTTCAGCTGTTTAATTTCTTTTATTTTTTTATTTTTTGGCTTTCTTGGGTCATACCCGGCAATGCTCAGGGGTTACTTCTGGCTCTGCACTCAGGAATTACTACTCCTGGCGGTGCTCAGGGAACCGTATGGGATGCCAGGACTCGAACCCAGGTTGGCGGTGTGCAAGGCAAACACCCTCCCCGCTGTAACTGTCACTCCAGTCCCAGACAGCTTAATTTTTTGGGAAACTTGATCCCAAGTTGTTGGGGTCTGGCCAGAGGCGCAGTGGAAGTTTTGGGTCATCAGAAAACCTGAAGGCACCATCAGGCTACTGATGTACCTGCCCCGCAGGTACGGATTGACCTGCTGGGTGGCACTGTAGCCCTCCTCCAGCACTTTGAAGTATTTTGCTCCACCAAGTTCTGCTTCTGTTATTTATAATATGAGGAATTAGTTGACTTTTATATATTTTCCCCCTTTTATCTAGTGGTGTCATTTTTCTCTGGGTTATTTTGAGTTGCCATTTTTTGAGTCATGAAGCTTTGCTGTTTAAGTTATTCGTAGTTTGTTTTTGTTTTTGTTTTTTTTATCTTTATCTTTCTAAAGCCGTATGTTGATGGGTGACTGCCAGTTCAGCCTGTTTCCAGCCATTACGTCTCCCAGCACAGGGAGCCTGGGCAGTGCCTGCCCTGATGACAGAGACGCCACCTCTGCGCATTCTGCGTAGACTGCCACCTACCTGGGCCACCGCCTGCCTTGCCCGCCACCTGCTTCCCTTCACGCCACTCTCTCTGCTGCAAGTGCTCTCTACGTGCGCTCTGCACTCGTCGCCGCACCCCCACTTCCGCTCATGCCCGCGCTCTCTCCACTCCTGCACCTGCCTACTGTGGGTGCATTCTTCACAGGACTTTCTTTCAGACTTGATGTATTTCTTTCTACAATTTCCATTTCATTCTTTTAAAAATATTTTATCTTTCTGTGTTATGATTTCCTGTTAAGTAGTCTTTTTTCATGAGTCACTGTGAGATAGACACAGTTACAAAGCTGCTCCTGGTTGGGGTTCAGTCACACAAAATTCCCACCAGTATACATTTCCCACCACAACATCTCCAGTCTCCCTCCCACCCCCCTTCTCTCTTCCCCTCCCCCACTTTTTTCCTTTTAGGCACTGTGGTTTGCAGTACTACTACTGAAGGGCTGTCATGCATATCACCTTACCTACTTTCAGCACTCAGTTCTTATCCAGAGGGATCATTTCCAACTACCATTGTCATAGTGGTCCCTTCTCTATCCTACCTGCCCTCCTTCCACTTGTGGCAAGCTTCCTACCATCAGCTGTCCTCCCGGCCCTTGTTGCTACTGTCTTGGGTTATTAGTCTCATACTATGTTTTCTTACATCCCATAAATGAATACTATCATTCTATGTCTGTCCCTCTCTTTTCGACTCATTTCACTCAGCATGACACTCTCCATGTCCATCCATTTGTAAGCAAATTTCATGACTTATTTTTCCAGGTGACTTTGTAGTATTCCGTTATGTAGACGTACCCTAGTTTCTTTAACCAGATGTTTGTTCTTGGGCACTCGGGTTATTTCCAGATTCTGGCTCTTGGGAATAGTGCTGCAATGAACATAGAGGTACAGAAGGCTTTTCTGCATTATGGTTTTTGGGCCCCGAGGCTCTATTCCCAGGAGCGGTATTACTAGGTCGTTTGGAAGCTCAATTTCTTGTTTTTTTTTTGAGAAATGTCCATCTTGGATGTCAGGTAACTCATGTGTGCACACCTGCAGGCCCCCTCCCATACCAGCGTGGGGGCCAGTGACACATTGTCCTTGGCTTGAGAGACATCGTCACAGAGCTCTGGAGCTTGAAAACTCTCATTTCTAGTCTTCCTGCACCCAGAGTATAAGTCAGCCGTCACTGTCATAGTAATGTAAGAAAAAGTCACTGGTGGTGAACGCTTGCCAGCGATGATGGGTCGGTCTGGGCTTCTTGTCTTTCAGGACCTCTTCTCGATCAGTGCATACGTCCATGCGCAGAAGCCACACCTGGACATTCATAGTTTTGAAGGCACCTTTACCCGGGTGAGTGAGCCCTGTCCCTTAGTGGGCGTATGGTCGTGGGAGGACCAGCCTTCCGACTGCCGCCTCCCCGTCTTGGTCCCTTGGTGACGGGCTTGTGGATGTGTCTCCACATCAGCAGTTCAGAGTGCAGGTTAGGAGAAGGGCACTTGGCAGACAGAATCAGGTGGGTTTCCATCAGACTGGGACAAAGGCTGTGTGAGATCAGGGTTTCGAGCAGGAAGGGTTCAGTCTGCTTCAGGACCCAGTTGGCCAGGACCTGGGGAGCAGAGTGAGAACGGGGCTGCTGCAGCAGCAGCATGGGCCGACGCTGTCTCTGCCATGTCCTGCTCCCTGCGGGCTGGCCCTCTGCTCTGTTCATGGAGCTCAGGTCAGAGTTTCCAGGTGGTGATGAGAGGCTGAGAAGCTGGGCCACGCCCGTGCTGATCTTCACAGGAACAGTGAAGGGAACGAAGTGCATAGACAGGACAGAGTCCCCAGACGGAGGCTCAGTGCAGGGCTTGGCTTGGCCCTGCCCTCTGATGCGCCACTCCCTGCCTCCAGGGGTGGCATCTCAGCAGGGTGGGGGCGCAGCTCTTAACCAGTGCTGTCTCACATCTCTCCAGGCTGCTTCTCACAAGCTCTTAGTCCACTCGTTGTAAAGATTCCTCTCCTGACCCCTAAATTGCTAAAGATGAGAGTCTTGGAGGGAAGGAGAAAGTACCAGATGACTGATTCTGTGCCTGCACTCGCTGTGGCCACTGAAGGACTTGGCTCCTGCTTGTCGAGCCGGAGAGAGACGAGGGAGCAGCACCGCAGGCAGCCTGTCGAGCCCGGGGACGCGCGTGAAGAGCGCTCCACAGGCAAGCCCTGTGCCCATGTCAGGAGCGGCGCTCCCCGGGCCGTGCAAGCATCCATGTCACTCACGGTTCCGAACAGAGTCGTTCGCTCAGAGCCTGGGGTTTGAAGCTGTCACTGATTTGCAGTAGTATTCGTGTTCCTTTCACATCCTATCCCAGTCAGTCATTTTTATGATGCGTCTGTGCTGCGATTCCTTTCGCAGGCCACATATCATCATGCATGTCTTTTCCAATAAAAAAAAAATCCTCTTAAAAGGCAAATCTCTATTGTTTGTTAAATAGGGTAGCTATTGAGCAAACAGCTTGAAACTGTAACATTCTGCATTCTCCCTTGGAAGGCAGATTTTATCTTTTTAAACTATATAATGTTAAGGCGGTGGGACTCCAAAGAGAAAGTTACTTAGAGATAATTTCTCTCCCATCTTCCCAGTCTTTATTCTGTGCTATATGAGATTAGTAAATAGCTATCCTTGACAATAATTTTCTTGATATTAGAAAAATGTTTAATTTTAAAGTCCGTCATTGTTATTACAGAAGCAGAAAGAAACAGCACAGATACTGTGGTTTCTTCAGCACAGATTGTGTTAGACAAAGCCTTTGCGTGATGAAAGAGTCGCAGGAAAGTAATGGGAACACCCACTTACATTTCTGAAGCTGAATTGCATAGGCCCTTTTATTCCCAGTTCAGAAGCCTTTATACCATTTTTATACTTTCTGTTGCCCCTTGTTTTTCTTGGAGTTGACATAATGGGAATACTGTGCCAGAAGACACATGCTTCATCGTTTCAGCTCCGTGTTGGACGGGACCATCGAGAAGTCCTGACTTGCTTGTGCTGCTGTGGCAGATGGATAGCGACTGGTGGCAGGGGCGGGCCCTGAGGAGCCCTCATAGTGTACAGGGGGGGGGGGGGGGGCGGGGGGCGCTGCCCCTAACCAGCAGGGCCAGCACCACAGGGATACAGAGAAGCTGGAGGCTGCCAGCAGTTCGACAAAGAGCCTGCACAGTTCTCGGAGCACCCACTGACCGCTTCTGTGCTCATGTTCTGCCCTGCACGCAACCAGGAGCGTTCAGGAACTCAGCATAGAGCCGGCAGGGCTGAGTAAGTCCTCAGAACATGCATGGTCACAGATGGTGAAATGAAGCCCAGTTAGGCATCGTTTCAGAACTTGCCCACCACTTTGGGCCCTTCAGGGCTTCGGAGCCTCCTGAGATGCTGGCCTCTGGTTCAGGTGCTGGGAGCAAGGTGAGCCGAGGCTTTCTGGGAGCAAGGTGAGCCGAGGCTTTCTCCATCTTTGGGGGATGGGAAGACAAGGAGCGGGCAGGAGGCTGAGCCCACCGGGGACAGTGGAAGGGATAGCAGCGGGGAGGTGACTTGGATCGGTTTAGGACTGACTCACAAGTGAAAGAGACTAATGTATCAGAGCATCAAATCTAGCAAATGCTTTCCAAGTCGTTAGCAGAGTGGCTATGATTTATATGCCGGGAAATGTTTGATGAGTGAGTGGAAAGAAAACATCAATAACGTAAGCCCATTTCTTATAGGAGTCTTCAGAGCTGTGTTTTCTGGTTGCTTTCTTTGTTGTCTTCAAGAAGTCTATTAGCAGAGGGTCAGTTTCCAGTGACTTGCAATCTGGGGACAGGGTGGGGCTCGGTGATCAAGTACAGACCTCGCAGGCTGATGGGTTCAGTCCCCCGCACCCCCCCCCCCCACACACACACACAGCATGGGTGAATAAGCACAGATTTGCTTGGAGATGACATATCTCACACACACACACACACACACACACACACACACCCCATGGGTGAATGAGCACAAATTTGCTTGGAGATGTCAGCTTGAGAAGTCACCAGTCAGGACAGTGTAGGGCTTGTTACTCTGAGGAAAGAGAGGTGACCCACTGCCATGAGTGGCTTCTCTTTGGGTACTACCCCCTACGGGAACCTGAGGCAAGCCACCTCCTCTCACCAAATCGCAACAAGCACTTATGACTCGAAGGAGAAAAGTTCTCATATCGTAATATTTTCTCTCTGAGCATAGATATAAAAATGTCAAAATAAAACTGGCTATACACTACTGCTATGTGACACCGATTAGCAATGTAAGATTTCAGGGACAGAAATTCAGAGTAGTGCTATGTTTGTTGTATGCTTGGTTTTGGTTTTAGGTCAATACCCAGTGGCGCTCAAGGTTGTTCCTGGCTTTGTGCTCAGGGACCCGATGTGTGTATGTGTGTGTGTGTGTGTGTGTGTGTGTGTGTGTGTGTGTGTGTAGGGGGAGTCCAGCCAGACTCAGCTGTGTGCAGGCAAGCACCTAAGCCCCCGCACTCACTCCAGCCCTGTCGTACCATTTTTAAAGGGCATTTGGAGAGAAATGGCACCTTCCTACATACACACATCCATACAGATACCAGGGTGGACCAGAGAGACACTGCAAGGGTAAGGCCGTGTCTTGTATACATCAGACCTGCCAGGACTCCTGAGTACCACCAGGTGTGACCCAACCCCCATTTCATTTAGGTTGCTGCTGCTGTTTGGAGCCAGACTACACAGTGCTCAGGGCTGTCTCCTGCCACTGCTCTCAGAGACCGTATGTGGTGCTAGGCAGTGAACTGGGTCAGCTGTAGGCAAGATAAGCTCCTTAACCACTGTAGTTTCTCTGGTCCTCTGTGTAGGGATCTACATTGATTTTACAAGGGTAAGAATCTGTAGTTTACTTTTCCGTGTTTTCTTCGACTGTGACTGTAATTGGCCTCCTGAAGGACAACAGGAAGTGCCCCTCTTGGATATGGAGCGTGTTGGTAAGGGCAGCCATTCCTTCTCACTATCTGGTATAATTGAAGCGCAGTACAGAGCCCTCAGCCCCCGTTCTGCCAGGAGAGTTTGGGCATCCATCGAGTGTGTCTAGATTTGCACTGGTCATACTCGTGTTTGGGGTTTGTAAGAATTTACCTGTTGTGACAGTTGCTCAGAGTTTTATCAAAATAATTTTTATTTCTAGAGAACTGTACTCATGCTATTTTCTGATTTTGGCCCATTTAGATTGATTCATCGATCTAACAAATTGTCAGTTTTGTTCATCTTCTCAAAACATCTTCTTCTGCCTTTAAATTCTTTTTTTCTGTTTTCCGGTCTTGATTTCAGGTATCTCTGTTCTCATCTGTCTTTTCCTCCAACCTCTGCTCACTTTGGATTTAACTTATTCTTTTCCTAATTTGAGTTGAGGTGAGCCTCTTCCTTGAACCTGCCCTTCCTTCCTCGGAGGGGATCCTTTCCAGCTGCCTCCGGGAAGTTTGGGGGTGGTATGTGTTAGAACCTGCCTCCACATTCTTCCACATTCTCTGGGGATCTTGTCATCATTCACTGGTTGGTTGTTAGAAAGTGTGTTGGTCAGATTTTGCCATTTCGTGGTTTTCCACTTCTCTTCCTGGTTCCCAACATCCCCATCACAGTCAGATCAGATACTTAGTACTGTATGCCTGTCTTAATCTCTCAGATCAGTTTTGGAGCCATGTCCTGGCACACCTAGGACACCCCAGCCCAGCCCCACCCCTTCCACTACTCTCTCAGTTACTCTGTGCATGTTATGTGCCTCCGTCTCTCTTTTCAGCCCGTCTGACCCTTGGATCTAAAGCCAGTTCTTGATGGCAGCACAGAGCTGCACCCGGAGCTTCTGCCCATCTGTCTTCTGAGTGGAGTCTTCAGGAAGAACCCTCTCTCCTCTCACTGTGCTGTTTGCTTTTGCTGTGACTTGCTCCTTTTTGGTCCCTAGTTTCCTGCGTTCCACTTTTCTGTTTCCTTCAGGTTGAGCATTGTAGTGAAGTGTCTGAATGCTGTTCTCCTTTCCTTCCTTGCATTTCCTCTAGTCATTTTTCTTGGTCGTTACCATGGAGATCGCCTTGAACGTCCTAAGCTGTGACTCCCATTTGGATTTATACCATTCTGAGTTCTGTAACGTACAGACACTGTGTTCGTCTACAGCTCTGGCCACCCCCTCAGTTACAGATGTCACGGAATCACGTTTGTACAGATGCAGTGAATGCCTCAGATTACGTGGCAAATGAGATTTGGAGCCACAGACCAAAGTCGGAGCAGTTCTGGCACTCTGAGACCTACGTGTCACATTTTCCTTTGCACGTCGTCGGAGCCTGGTGAATGAGAGAGAGAGTGGAAGTGTTGTCACCCTCTGCTCCCCTGCAGGGCCCTGGGCCCTCTGTCTGGGGGGCCCCTCCTCGACTGTGGCTATTGGGGATTGTCATCCTTTCCTCGTGGTCTTTTCAGATGTGCAGTTCAGGCTGGGGGCTGTAGTTCAGACAGTGGCCGTACCAGCACAGCCGAGAGTCCCGTGCAGGAGAACCGGTTCTCTCCTCCTGTGCTTTACTCAGACTCACACTTGCACAGCTCAACCGTCTTGTCTCAGCTTTGCCACTAACTGCTGAGTTCCTCTAATGAACTTTGCCTTTGTTCTCAGCGTCTGAATTTCTTTAGATTTCAGCTCATGCTTGCTTGCTTACCTTTCTTTTTCTTTCTTTCTTTCTTTCTTTCTTTCTTTCTTTCTTTCCTTCCTTCCTTCCTTCCTTCTTCCTTTCTCTCAGTCTCTTTCTTCCTTCTTCCTTCCTTCTTTCTTCCTTTCTTTCATTTTTATTGAATATCTGTGAGAAAGACCATTACAAAGCTGTCATGATTTGGGTTTCAGTCACACGGTGATCCAACATCCAGCACCCATCCCCCACCAGTGCACACCTCCCACCACCAATGTCCCCCCTCTCCCTCACACCATCTGCCTCCCACCCAGCCTTCCTCTGTGGCAGGTATCCCTCCTCCCTCTCTCCTTTTGTGCATTATGGTTTGCAATACGATACTAAAAGGTCATCGTGTATGTTCAGGGCATTCAGTATGTTTATCAGGAAGGTATGGCTGAAATGACTTTTTTAATTGGTGGCACCTTTTTAACTGGGTGTGGATATGACTGCCGAGGCTTCCGGAAGTACAGAGAGGAGGGGGGAGGGGGAAGGTGGCACATCCCGATCCCAAGAAAGCCTGGAGATTTCGGTCACAAGACCCGCATACCCGAATTTTCAGCAGTTTGTATCTTGGTGAGGTTCACCCTGAGACAGTCTAGGCCTGCTGGGGCATGGTGGTGATTTGGATTGTAGAAGCAAGTGGCTGCCAGGGCTTCTGTTGGGTGGACACCAGGCTGATCTGCTCCCCTCCAATTTACCTCGATCTGTTCAGCCTTGAGCAAGTCCGAGATTAACTGTGGCTTTTGATCTATTTTAGATTTATTTATGGGTCTCTGAAGCAAGGCTGATAAATGAGCTTGTACAGCTGCGCCAGAGGTGGTTTGTGGGCATGGCTCCCCAATACCTAACTTTTGGCCATTTAATTTCTCAGAAAACTTGGTCCCGAGTTGTTGGAATCTGGGTGGAGGCACAGCAGCAATTTGGGGGCCTGAAGGCACCGTCAGGCTGCTGATGCGCTCGACCTGCGGGCACAGGCTGACCTCTGGTGGCTCTGCACCCCCGCGTTTCTTTTCTTATTGACATCTGTTTCTTTATTGGGGGGGGGAGGGGGATGGGACTGGCCCACACTTGTGGCTTTGGGCCTGTTCCTGGCTCTGCTCAGGAGCGGCTTGTGGTGGTGCTCATGGGACCACGGGCCCCTGCAAGGCAAATCAGTCCCATGAACCATCTGCCCCCACCACTGTTCGATTTTCAGTCATTATTTGTCTTGACTTTTCCCATCTTGCTTTTTTGAGCTTCTTTTTGTTGTTCTGAGTCTCTGTCTAGCAGAGTGTGTCCTGGGGTGGAGCCTGGCCCCAGGTACAGTTGGGAAGCGCTTTCTGTTTGTTCATTTAAAGATGGATTTCCAGGAGATGTGACCTAAACTGGGTTGTGCCAAATAATTCAGGGACACTCTGTCCTGTAGACCTGCCCTTCAGCCTTTCCCATGACCTGTAGGTTCCTTAGCCAGACTGGACTTGTTCTAAAGGCTGCGTTTACCTTCTGACTTCTCATTGCCTTTAGGTTAGACATTGTTGAGTCTGGAGATGAAATTTGTCTTCTTGCTGTTCCTTTAGTTGTTTGGGGGCTTTCTGTGGTGCTTTATTCCATCGCACGCTATCCATGCTGAGGGCCAGTGAGGGGTAGACCCACCGTCTTCTTGGTTTTTTTCCGAGTCTTGCTGTGGCACATGTGGTCACGGTCTACCTTTTCTTCCACGCACTTTCAGGTGTGTTCGGACATCCAGCTGGTTGCATGTGCGGAAGCGGGAGACCTGGAGGGAGGGTTGTTGCCCTGTCCCCCGGAAGCAACTGCGGGGGGGAGATAACTCAGAAGCAGCAGCTCGGCCGGTTCCTTGAGTCTGAAGCTGGACCCTTTGCCCACCCTGCCTCCCCGCTGCAGGCTGCTCAGGGAGCAGGTGCTGGGAGCTGTCAGGAAGCTGCTGCTGTGCTGTAAGCGCTCAAGTCGCCCCAGGTTCACCAGTTGATGCCCTGCCCTCGCCAGAGTTGCGCCTCACTGGAGCAGACATGGCCTGTGTCCCTGCTCTGCCCACCACCCCGAGTCTGTCTAACCCCCCGACCCCGCTGCCCCCAAGACCTGCTCCTGCTCTCCTTCAAGCTGGCCACTGGTGCTGTTGGTGTCCTGGCTGTGGAGCACACCGCTGACTTGCTCTCTCCTCTCTGACAGGAGGACACAGACCCGCCTGTTCACGAGAGCCTCGGCATAGAGAACACCTTGTGGGCGAGCACTGTGGTGGCATCAGGTAAGACTCGCACCTGCAGAGGATGCCTGCTCACTGGCCTAGGGGCCTCACCCACTGGGCAGTGCCTTCCCGAGCGACCCCACGAGCTTGGGGCCGCATAGGGGCTTGGAGGCCCTTTACCCAGAGAATGGCCCAACCGTCTGTGTAGGGACCCAGATGAGAGGGTTTCGTTTCTCCAAGGTGGAGTTTGGGGATGTTGGAGCGTTTCTCGTGGAGGCACAGGGAGTCGCTCCAACGTCTCCTTTAGAAAGTGCTTTTCTCTGGGAGCTCTTGAACTCGAAACGGTCAGCTGCAACTGACCAGAGCAGAGCAGAGGGCCTGGTGAGGTCGTGGGCACAGCCCGGCACGTCGTGGCGCGCAATGTAGTGTCCTGACTCCTGTGCCTTTCGCATGACACTGCAGCACATGCGAGACCTGCCCTGGGCTTAGGACACTTCATGGCACTTGGTGCTCAGGACCAAGGACAGAGGCGCCCCCAGAAGATGCCACCGATTTGTGCCCTAGGCTCTCCTTGAACCTTGACAAGGGCCATCCTGGCCGGGGTTTTCCTCGAATTTCTCCAAGGAAGAGCCTGTGAGTCGCTGTCTGGAGCCCAGAGGGCTGAGGGCAGGTGGGCGCCTCAGAGGCACGGAGCAGGACCAGTAGGAGGACCCTGTGAGAGTCTCGAATCTCTTGGAATAAACCAAGACAGCTGGGCATGTGCCCTGGTGCTGCGGCAGGAAGGCCCGTGTGGGTCCAGACTCCAGGAGAGAGGCCGGAGAGGGGCCAGTGCCTGCACCAGGGGCCCAGGCACTCTGCAGAGAAATGAGCACCAGGACTTCCCTGTCCAGTGCAGGGAGGCCGCTGGCCCACACCCCTCTCCTGTGAGTGTGTGTCTGCTGAGCTGGTCCTGACCACTGAGTGTGTGTCTGCTCAGCCTGACCCGTGAGTGTGTGTCTGCTGGGCTGGCCCTAACTCGTGAGTGTGTGTCTGCTCACTCTGTCCCTAACCTGTGAGTGTGTGTCTGCTTGGTCTGTCCCTGTCCCATGACTGTGTGTCGGTTGGACTGGCGCTGACTTGGAAGTGTGTGTACGAGAGCCTTTGTGTACAAAGAAAATGTCATGGAGACCCTTGAAATACGTGTGTTTCAGGTTTCTTATGCAGTCGTGTTCATTCCATCTCTCTGAGCACAGTATTCCTTCAGTCCTGTCTCCTGGGACTTTGGAATGTCCTGCCAGCTTGCCGTGGGTCCTGCTCAGGCACACCTGGGTTGGAGGGGATGGCGTCTAGCCTTCCTAGACATGACTGTTCTGGTACTAAGATTAATTTCCAGTTGGTCAACTTTTATTTGTGTGTGTACTTAGGACTGTCAACTTCTGCTTCGATTATGTCATACTTATTTGGCAAAACAGGAAGAAATGAATCAGATCATTTTTAACATTTTACTTTGCCGACAGAAGAATTGTATGGCATTTTGGAAAGGTTTTTAGTGGTTTGGCTAGGGAGTCTTTCTCTGTATCTAAATGTGCACTGTCGTGAACCCATACGGGGAGTTCGTTTGGATGGTAGCGGAGGAGGTGTAGCTGCACAGTAGGTGTCATCTGTGCCGAGGGTCGCTCTGCATGTGAACATCAGGGTCCAGCCCCCCACTGGCCCGCGACCCACAGCAGAGGAAGAAGAGACATGCCCTCTGCATCCAGCATGCCCATACCCGGTACCCAAGGCTCTGTGGGGAAAGCCGAGCCACTTCTGTGTGCAGTCACAGAGTTCAGGAGCTCAGGCAGCACTGCAGAGCGGGGATACAGAGTGAACACTAAGACTGTGTCTCACCTTTGGACTCTGGGGAGACTCGGAGCGGACAGGACCAGGTTCATGTCCCCCACGGCTCTTCCCTCCTTCCCAGAGATGGTTTTCGTGGAGCTTAGTAACCTAGGGTCATTCTGTGGTTATTTGAAAAGTATACGTGTTTGTTTTGGGGCCACACCCAGTGTTCAGAGCTTACTCCTGGCAGGTCTCAGGGTACTGGATGGGGTCCCAGGGCTCAAACTCGGGCCAGCTGCATGTAAGGCAAGCACCCTACCACTGTCTTGTCATTCCTGTCCCCAGGGTATGTTACTCTTTCACCTTAGGTTTGATCAGCCATAAACTTACATCTTGACATCTACAATTGGGAAACCAGCCTTTCAGGAGATGTAAATAAGAGGAATTGGCCTTGTGCAGAAGTTGAATCAGGCACGCCTTCTGGTGGTTTCTCTGGTTCTCCCCTGCATTCACACTGCAATTGTATGCCAGCTGTAGCTCTGGCTGGTCGCGGGCTTCCAGGAGGGCTGGTGGGAGGGCCCAGAGCACCTGTGTCAGTGGCCTGCCTGGTTTTGCAGGTGACATGGTGAGTCCATAGTGACAAAGGGAGCCTCTCTACCTTGAACTTCGGGGCTCAGCATCTCAGTGCAGTGGAAATAATTATAGCGCACTTTCTGATATTCTGGGTAGGTGGATTTGTATTGCTGAAGAAATTTGACTTTCACAAAGTTCCTTTGGAAAGATGAGATTAGATTTTCTTAAACTAGCCGAACTAAATAAGCTGTTAAATATTTTTGCAAAATTAAATAATGTGCTTTCCATCCAAACCGTTAATTAGAAAGTATAATCTCTGTGCTTACTCTTGAAAGGATTTCTGTAAGGTCCACTTTCATGTTTCCGCAGGTACTGTAATAGGTGTTGTCATTTATACTGGAAAAGAAACTCGAAGTGTAATGAACACATCCAATCCCAAAAACAAGGTAGGCTAGATAAGGGTCTCTCCCTGCAAGCCCCCTTCCTTCCAGGGACACGCACGTGCCTGGGAGCAGCCGGCCTTCTCCCTAGTGGACATTTGCACAGACTTTCGGGATGTTGCTGATTGGGACAGTGGGTTCTCTGCGTTTCCCTCATAATGTACACTTACTGAAGAATTCCCAAAAGAACCCTTTTTTGGTAAATCAAAGTTTTCTGCTTCTCTTAGATTTTCATTGTGAAATACAGAATTCATCCATAATCTGACAGCTCATTGTATGCCTCAGTTTCCCTTCAGTGCATTTATCTTAGCTTTTGGGCTCTTTATTTTTATATTGACGGTGCTCTTTTAGGGGAAGGAGTGTGTTCACATGGTCAGTGGTATGTTGATAAAGTAGTTTAAGTTTTTGCTGTTCTGGAAGAAGCAAAATACTGAAAATCCAATTTTAGTTTTAAAGATTATCTTCGTGTTTTATTCCTGAAATCGTTATTCTTGAATCCACATGTGGCTGCAAGTCCAGCTGATCAGACACCGGGCTGTCCCTCGTTGCGTGTGCCACACACCAGGTCTCTGTACTCTGGGGCCTGCTTGTGGCTTGCCAGGTGGCACCAGGGGCACAGTCTGTGACACATGAGCCAGACCGAGTCTTCTGGGGCCTGCACTCTGCTCGGCAGTCTGTCAGAAAGGCGGGCTTTTGCAGATCTCACCACGGCAGCAGTGATGAAGCGGTTCCTTGGGAAGACCATTTCCAAGACAAGTTGTATCCCCTCTACCCCCACCCCCACCCCCCACCCCAACTACTAATAAAAAACAGTTGTTCTTTCTCTGTGAAAGGGAGAGTTCCTGACTGCTTTCCTGCCAGTGCTTAAGGAGGGACATTCCATCCACCAGGCCTGGAACCGGGAGCACTGTGCAGTCAGGGAGGAGCCATGGGGGGGTGAGGGGGGACATGGAGACTGACCTCGTGGGCTTATATGGCAGCCTGGTATAGTTGGAACAGAGTCAGCGTGCCCTTTCTGCTCTGGTCAGCTACACCTGGGGCGGGGGAGAGGTGGTGCGGGGGCGGTCTTCAGTAAGGTCGCACAAGGTAACCAGAGCGATCTTTGGTAAGCTAGTGGCACCCGCAGAGTGATGTGAGTGATGTATTTTCTGTACAGAGCAGTCAGTTCTTTTCTTTCACAAGCCAAACTAGGATGTTTCCGTGCACATGCAAATTGAAGGTTTGCTCTGTGTGCTGTTATTGGAGGGCAGGTTTTAAGTATGAAGTACGAGATAGTAAAGGACGGCCCTGCCCTTTGCCCCTCTGTCCTGGTTCTCCCCTTTCCCTGGCCTCTCCTCACTCTGCACTTGGCCCTGTTCTCTTCTCATTCCTTTCCTGCGTGGCTGAACCCAGCTGCCACTGTTATGGCGTCTGCCTGGGCGAGTGGCTTCATCTGCTGTTTTTGTTGGGGCCATACCGGGGTTGAACTCTGGACCTCCTGCATGAAGAGCATGCGTCAATTCATGTCTCCAGGCCAGCTCCATCCATTCATTGTTCCTCTGGGCAAGCAGTTCATTATTGCATTTCCTCCTTCCTCTTCCTTTCTTGCTGCTCTTTCTTCTTTACCAGCTTTCTAGATCTCTGACTGTAGGAGAATGCACCCCATAGCAAAACAGACATCTTCTTTTTCAGGAGGGTGGAGGGTGGGGTTTCTACATCAGTCGGTGCTCAGGTTACTCCTGCTGCTGCACTCAGGAATTTCTCCTGGTGGACTTGGGGGATGCCGGAGATCAAACCCGGTCAGCTGCATGCAAAGCACGTGCCCTGCCTGCTGTACCAGTGCTCCAGCCCCACGACAGGCAATCTTGAGATTTGCAGAGCTGGATTTAGAGCCTGGACTGGGACAGCCAGCTCTCCCAGACAGCGAGCTCCCTCTCAGTGGGGCTGAGAGTTTGGTGCACATGATAGGCCATGCCGCAGGGCAGCTCTGGTGCACTGCAGGAGCGCTGCTCCGCCGAGGCACTCTGCCGTCAGGAGGGGTCTCGGGAGGAGTCTCTTGTCTGGCAATTGCCGTGCACTCCTGTGAATGAAATGCTGGTGTCCCGAGACCACAATTAGAACATTGCCAAACTGGCTACAGTAGACCAGAAGCAGCGTCACTCACCTCGAAACACTGATTTGTTCCGAGAAAGAGAAGAGCGAGTCTGTGATGGAGAAGCTGCCCTGGGAAGATGTCTCCTGGGTGTCCCCTTGTCACCGTGGTATGGACAGGAGGGATGGGAGCTTTGCTGCCCCTAAGACTCTGTGCTACACTCGTCCCTCAGGGGAACCTGGCACGGCGGTTTCTCCCCTTCCCACTGTTCCTTGCTTCCGTTACTGACGACCTCATATCGGTGTATATTGTGGGGGCATTGTGTGTGCGGCAGTGGGGGGAGAATGTGCAGATCTGTGTGACTGCTCAGATGGAAAAATGCTGCAGTGAACACGGTGCTGGTTTCAAAAACAAAGGTAATGGAGCAGCAGTGAGGTGGCAAGCTCGGATCACATGGTGAGAATGAGGAGTGCACAGCTTTATCCGTGCTCAATGCCCACTTGGCAGGACTGACCGCCGTGAACGCTGCAGACCCACAGCATGTTCTGGCAAAGAGGGGTCTCTGTGGGTCATCATAGAGCTGACCAGATATTAGGGCCACCTCCAGCTTAGACCCTGGGGCACACCTATACTTATGCCCCAGGACATGCTTATACTCACATCCAGGCAACCTGTACCCACAACCCCAGGACACGCCCGTATTCACAGTCCAGGGCACACGCTTGTACTCACACCTCCACACACACCTGCACTCACATCTCAGGGCGCACCTGTACTCACACCTCAGCCCCTTAGTACCATCCCTCAGGATGGGCTGCCTAACCCACAACATCCTGTACTGCTCCCCTTTTTAGGCTTATTCTCAAACCCACTGTGGGGCACTTGACTCATACTGACTCTTCCTTTGGAGCCCTGTTGTACACGTGCCTGAGACAAGGCTGTTTCCCTGAGTCTGTAGGCACGTTTGCACCTGCACCCATACCTCTCCCCCAGGGGCCACTGCCAGCCGGGGTTTGGGCCATGCTGCTCGAGCTGCCTGCCTCCTCCGCACGGCCCTGCTCGTCCCGTGTTATTTCTCCCACCCTGGGCCTGTAGCTTTTTATTCTACAGTTCAGTTCGTTTTCCCCAGATTTGGGGGTTGGAATCAGCCCTGGGACATAAAGTCAGCACAGGTGGTGATGCCTGCCTTGCATATGGCTGGCCCCACTCTGGTCCCGGCACTGTATATCCAGCCATCCTTGATGCTGAGCCAGGACTACTCTAAAGCCCCCAGAATGTGAGGCCCCACAGTTCTGTGTGCTGGAGTAAAATCCAAGGTGAGGAGAAACTGACGCTGGCTGTTCCGAGACCGGCTGCTTCCCTCGGCTCACAGCAGTGTGCACCAGGGAGGCAGCTATGCTCGAGTTTGAACAAATCAAAAGTTTTTATTACTAAGCAATTACTTTTACAATAATATTTGGTGGAAGTTTAAATTATATGGAGTGCAAGTTGAATAATGGACTGCTTTATAAAACCTAGCTTTAGATATATTTAATAAGATGAATCTTGATTACATTTAAGAGGAAAAAAATTCTTACAGGAGGTTAAGAAAAATCAATTGTGACAGGCTGCCATTTCCATGCCATTCATAGTAATAAGTTACTCAGAGCCAGAGCATCAGGGATGAAATGATAATACAAATTGCTTCAAGCAGTTACTGTAATCCCTCGGGCATATTGATATGTGTTTCTAATAAAAAGGCTTTCAGACATCTCGCTGACAGACAGACAGGCGATATGGCCATTATGTTCAGTAGGCTCAGCTTGTTGTCCTCAGAATCGCTGTAAAGGCCTCAGATAAGAGAACAAAACGGAGTCGGCTGTGGTGTGTGTTGCAGGTTGAAATTTCAAGACTATTTTGGAGAACAGCTTTCTTATTTTGTCTTATAAAAGGACAGTTTATTAATATTTAAAAGTGTTGACTCATTAAAATATTACAATAGAATAACTTTGCCCTTGTCTTGGCTGCATGTAACCTAGCACGCCATAGTCCTTACAAATACCAAAATATTTTCGGGCTTAAATACATAGGTTTAAAGCCGGTGATGTGCCCTGAAAGAGCGGTCTGCAGACTGCAGGAGTCCGGTCGGTCTGCAGAGATGAAGGATTTTCACAGCTTGGCTGTGGATGCTGTCAGCATTTACCACTCACAGTGTCTCCTTGGGAGAAGACAAGGCAGGAACAGCCCACAGGAAGTCAGCGGGTGACCTCGAGTGCCCCACAGCACACAGCCACCATACCGACCGCTGACGTGGACTGCAGTTTCCGTGCCCAGCGGTGAGGGGCAGCGCTCAAAGGGCTGAAAGAGTTGCATGGAGTTTCTCGTTCCTTGCAGCATGCGTTTGATGATGAAGCAGGTGTCCTAACCAGGAAACATTCACATCCTCTACATAGAGACTGTGTCAACAGACTCCCAAAGGTGAAGGGCTGGGGGTTTGAGAGCTCCCCAGCTCCATCCCTCAGCTCTGCAGAGATGTGGAATCAACCTGAGAAGCAGATCACCATTTACCTGATCGTGGTCATCCTTTGGAAATTGGTGGTACCTGTGAGAATGACTTAAATTGTGACACAGGCATCTGAGTCCATGCGAAGTTACAAAGCCTCTGATTACCAGGTAATCTGGAACATCTCTGCGGGCCTGTGTGGCCTGGGACAAGCGGCTCACAACAGCCCCTGTGGTGTGTGGGCAGACAACCATGTTGTTGGAAGCAGAAGAGTGAAGTGTTGTGGTTTCCTGGGACACAGAGATAGTCTGGATGGATAGTCTGGAGGTCCCTTGTCACAGGCTCAGAAACCAACCATGTGTATGCAGTGGGGACAGAAGCCAAGTCTGAAATTTCCAAGATCCACTCATTGTGGGGCTGGAAAGATAGCACAGCAGGTAGGGCATGGCATTT